TCCGACGTGTGCCGCCAGCTCAGCACCCGCACCGAGAGCAATTGGGTCTACAGATCCCGGTGGCAGCTCGACGCCGCAAGCGCACTACCCCAGCCACACCCATAACCGCCCCTGTGCCTGCCCCTGTGCCTCTGCTGACTGCAGCCCCGGCCCCTCCTCCTGAGCCACCTGCTCCTACAGCTGCAGCGACACTCGACCAGCCAACGTCTCAGACGGCCACGGAGCTGCCCCGCCTGGCGGCCTTCCACGGCACACATCCGCTCTACAGAACACATGTCCACGTCCGCCTGCCGCGGCCGCGCTATGTACAGCTTGGAGGCTCTCTTCCCCGCCGGCCCCGCCCTGGCACCTCTGCTGCGGGCATGGCGCAGTACTATGCGTTTGTCCTGGGTACTTTCAAAGCTCACCGGGGTCAGCCCATCCCCCCCGGGCTGACTGTAAAGGAAGCCTACGACACCTGGTGGGCAGAGCTGGGCACTACCGAGGCAGGTCGCTCGTACCAGGCGTATGTATCGGTGCTGCTGGACAACATCGAAGAGGACCACGCTGGGAAAGCCCGCCGTCAGGCGGAGTACAACCAGCGGCGCCGCCAGCAGCGTGCGGCAGCGGCAGCAGCGGTGCGGCCTGAAGGTGACAGCACGAGCGCTTCAGATGGAGATGCCGATGACGGCGTCCGCGGGCATCTCAGGCCTGATCCTGAAACACAGCCGCCCGCCGAGGACCAGCTGGAGCACTTCGTGTACATCCCAGGTCAGGAGTATCCGACGGCTGGCACCGACCTCGCCGCCGTCGCTCTTACGGACCTGTTTGACTGCACCAACGCTGCTGGCGTGTATGCCTATGATGCAGCACGGCGCTGCCGAGCCCCGGCCCTAGCGGACGGCCATGGTGCACGCAGCAATCGTTTCAGCCGTCGGATCACGCCAGCGGACCTGCCCCTCCTGACTGAAGCGACCAAGCGTCTGAAGCGGTATCTCGTTGCAGCAGCAGCCGGGACTGTTGAGGCAGATGGGGGCGCCCACACGGGACTGACGGCCACACCTGAGATGGACACCCCTCATGTCGAGCTGCACCGCCCCACCAGCGGACCCCTGGTCGCCATCGTGCGCATGCCTGGCACTCCTGAGCGGACTGAACAGGCTCGCATGCCCATCTATGTGCACCTCCCCCAGCCGCCCAGCATCGACGACACCATTGAGCTGTTCACGCTTGCCCCCCACCAGGCCGTGCCCTTCATGCTCATGGCTCGGTACTTCGATCATCGTGATGAGCCCAACCCTGGCGACCCGCCGCAGATGCTTGTGGAGGGCAAGCCCAGTACCGGAAAGAGCCAGTTCGTACAAGCGCTCCTGTGGTACACCTTCCAGCATGGCTGTCCGCACTGGGCGGCCACCTGCACCTACTCATGGGCTGCTGCAACTGCCTTCAGCACGCCGGTGCATCGCAGCCTCTCTACCCACGCCATGTTTGCCCTATCTGCTGGCAGCAACCGAGCGGACAGCGTCAGGAAAGGCAGCGCAGCCAGCCTACAGGTGCATCGGAATGTCGGCGATGGTGCACTCATTATTGACGAGATCGGCATGAACAGCCTGGACCACCTGGGTGCGTGCAACCAGTCCTGCACTCGTCACCTGTTGCCGCCACCGCATCTCGCCGGCGACCACCCCGCCGCCACCATCTTCAGCGGCCGTCCCAGTGCCAACACGGGCGACGAGTTCCAGCACCCGAAGCCAGGTGGCCCGCCCCTCTACAAGTACGCCGCCGCTGTGGAATGCAACCCTCAGTTCTCGCCCTCTGTCCCGACCGCGCAACCTCTGCACGGAGAGGAGGACAACGATGACGATCCTAATGAGGCCGCCGCTGGATCTCAAGGCGGTCAGCAGCAACCCGAAGCAGCAGCACGCCGGCCCCGGGCCGTCCCACAGACGCAGAGCTGCATACTTGAGGGCTTCCGGGTTTACCGATCGCTGGCTAAGACGGTCTTCTTGCTGGAGAAGCAGCAGCGCCAGGACAGCAGCCCCTCTGGTCGTCGCCTGACAGAGTATGCCTCTATGTTTGGCGGGGAGCCAGCCACTGAGCAGCGCATAGCTGAGATGGTCGACGACCTCAACAGCCGCGCCATCGTCGACTTGGCCGACCTGGCACACCTCGAGCCGCGCGTCGTGCTGCAGAGGAACGAACCACACCACACACTCAATACCCGGCTCATCATGCTGGAGGCACAGCGCAAGAATCAGCGCCTTGTGGTGTGGAATGCGGACCACGTCCCTGTCCAGAAGCGTGGTGCTGCTGCGGAACCGGCCCTGACACACGTGGAGAAAGCAGTTGCGATGCGGATCAAGGATCACGAGTTTGGCCACACCACCGCCGACACGTGGTACTACCATGGCGCCCGATACATCCTCCTTGATACGACTGCTGCCGATGCCGGAGCCAGCCACAACAACGAGGTGGAAGCCTGCGGCCTGCTTGAGGATGGCCGCGAGCCAGCAGATGACGGCCGTGGCCCCTACCGCCGGCTCAAGTACCTCCCAGCGGCTGTCATTGTGCGGCCTATAAGCGGCCACATCCCCGGCACCGTGCTGCAGGGCCTTGGAGACTACGCCAGCAGGGGTGGTGCCTTCATCCTGTCACCCCGGGCGTCTTGCATTGCCGAGGTTGACATGCCTGCCGCCGGGTACGGCACCATCACAAAGCAGATCCGGCGCCTCAACGTGCCGCTCGGCGACCGCCAGGCGGTCACCGATTACTTCGTGCAAGGCCGCAGCTTCAAAGACGAGTGCTGGCTGGTGGATCTCGCTGTCCCACCCAACGGCATCAAGCGCGCCACCCTGTATGTGCTGCTGACCCGCTTCAAGACGCTGGACCACGTCCGTCTGCTCCGGCCGCTCTACACTACACCGCACGAGCGCAAGAGGATAATCAAGCAGTTCCTCAGCGCGACTAACCTCGAGCCGGACCTGGCCGCCAACCTGCGCCTGCTGAAGCAGGCAGCGCGCGAGACGGAGCAGCGGTATACAGCGGAGTTCCAGCATGCGCGACAGCTAGAAGCACGCTGGACCCCCTCGGCCCGAGGCTAGTTGAGTTGAGTCGAGTTGAGTTGAGTTGAAACCGCGACCCGCCACTGTACGGCGTTAAATGACAGCGTCCGGGGTAAGGGGGACACCCCGGACGACACGCTCGCTCCCTACGGGAAGGAATGGGGAGCCGCCCACCAATGTGTGGAGCCCCCTGCGGGTTCGACTCCCGCGCGAGCGCTTCACAGGCTAAATTCCCGTGCTAGACTCCGCAAGCTTACATTT